AATCTCACCGGCTCAAGGTTGACTCAGCCTTCCATCCTTCCGAGGTGGGTGAAATGAGGACCCAGACTGTGGGGTGGGGGTGGGGGATATGCTGACTCTGTAAACCGCTTAGAGAGGGCTGAAAGCCCTATGAAGCGGTATATAAGTCTAACTGCTATTGCTATTGCTAACTGGAGACATGGTATAGATTAAATTAGGGGCAGAGGCCTCGCTTTTTAATATGGTTAAACATTGGCAATTGTTATCAGAATAATTCTCAAGCATGATGCAGTCTGTCTCTCTCTTTGGATATGCACATGTGTTCTAATAAAACCCTAATCTTACAGAAGGCATCCTCTCGTATGTATGTGAGAAAGAAGCATTTCTTAAGGTGCCATTTATAATGGGACTGTTTTTTGTTTTTTTTAAAGATTTCTGACCCTGTCCTCTTTCCTTCTCCACAGTCTATTGGCAACGCTAAAACCACAAGAAACGACAACAGCAGTCGCTTTGGGAAGTACATTGAAATCGGTTTCGATAAGCGGTATCGAATCACAGGTGCTAACATGAGAACTTACCTGCTAGAAAAATCGAGAGTGGTGTTCCAGGTAAAGTGGATTCTGCCTTATTTTGAAGTTGCATGATGATGAGTTGGGGAACAAAACTTTGCATCTGATAGGTTACATCTGGAGTGGGATGTTGTTGGTTTTCCACACTGCAATCTACAGTGGAAATGGTTACTTATGGGTTGTTTTAGTCAAAACTTTCTCAGGATAGTACAGCAGGTGTCATACATAAATTCACCCGTTATATATATATTATTTCTGTGTATTTATTTGTGTGTAATTTATTTGTTCCTGGAGACAGCTGTCTGTGTGGTTGCTAAGAGACAGCACTGACATGCTAGTTCATGTCAAATATAATCTGTTTGCATTAAAGGCGGAAGAGGAGAGAAATTACCATATCTTCTATCAGCTTTGTGCTTCTGCGGCATTGCCTGAATTTAAAGCTTTGCGATTGGGTATGTAATGGTATCTGTTGTACCATGTTCTGGCATTTACCAAAGTACTTTTATTATCTATTAATGTCCATCTATCGTTGATGTGCATCCAGTGCTATGCATATTCCAAGCATTTTACCAATGTCAGTCATAATTTATGAGAAATCGTTATTTGCTTGATCCCTCTGACTGCATCGAATCTCTGATTTTGAAGTTTGAGCATAAATTGGGTTTGTTTCCAAGAGAGTCTAGTTTAATTTTATTTTTAGTAATTTCAGTAATTTTTAATAATTTAGTCATTTCAGCCTCAAAGTAAGGGATATAAATTCTTAATAATGAACAAATAATCAATTTGCTTGGCCGCAGTTATTAGACTCTTGCATGAAAGTCATAACGTCATTTTGAAGTTTTGTTATAAAAAATAATTTTGTTTTGGGGATGTTGGCTTGAGTTCTGATTTTTGTTGCAAACATTTCGTCACCATTTGAGGAGACATCGTCAGTGCGCTTTGAGTTGTGCTTGTCAGACGAGCACAGTTCAAAGCATCCTGATGATGTCTCCACGAATAGTGATGAAACATTTAAAACCCAATTGCCAAGCTCAGAGCTTAAACCAAGAGCCCAACTACCAACCCAAGCTACTAATATTCAAGTACATTCAATCTTGTTTTTGTTCAAATAGGAAACGCAGGCTATTTTCACTATACAAAACAAGGGAGAAGCCCGGTAATTGACGGAATTGATGACGCTAAGGAAATGCTTAACACACGACGGGCTTGCACACTCTTGGGTAAGCATGCAACTCTTCAAGGGCATCACTTAGGATAAGTAACCCAACGTTCTATATTATTATTTGCAAAAAAAAAAGCCTAAAAGGGTGAATAGATGCTTAAGAGATGGTTCCATTTAACTGAGCATCATAGTTTGCAAAATACAAATGTGTCTGAACAGCTTGCTAACTACTATTTGACATCTCAAAGGCACCGACGAGGAATGGAGGAGGAGGCGCAGATGTCAGTGACAAATAGCTCGGCTTTCTGTGCAGGGATACTAAGAGCAACTGACTTTCTGAGAAAAATAAGATTTGAAGCACTGTAAGGCTCTCACATTTGTTGCTTGGTGTACAACTCACAATTCTTTTACCAAGCGCATATGCCTTCTCAGAGGATAAAAGTATGCATTTATGAAAGTACTAGCTGATAACCTGGCATTATCCGGGTATTTACTTATAGGGGGAAAATGTCCGGACCAAACGTAATTTTTAATGTTGGATTTTCCCCCTTACCAGAGGGAACCCCCTTGTGGAGTACTGTGAAGTCGTTACCATGGCAACTCCACTGCACTGTACAGTAGAAGGCATTTTAAGGCAGTACAGTAGAAGTAATTTTAAGGCACAACAGACTGTATCATAACAGAACACACACCCCGAGGGATGTTAGGGGTGTCTTACCCCCACAGAATTTGTTTCCAGAGAGTAAATAATCTGTGTACCAAGTTTGGTTGAAATTGCTCAAGGCGTTCCAGAGTTATGCTGGAATGTACACACACACACAGACACACAGAGACAGGGATATATATATATGTATGTATGTATGTATGTATGTATGTATGTATGTATGTATGTATGTATGTATG